GCATGTGTTTTCTTATAGCGCATACGCAATTAATGGATACACATTTTATACCAAAGAACAAGATGATAAAAGTACAATGCAAAATAATGGTGTCACCGTGCTAGCTGAAGCAATGCACGTTTCAAGTGTGAAGGACTTAACCCCAAATATGCAAATCTGTCATATTTTGGGGTTATCGAGCATATTTGGGTGTTTGATTATGAGAAGTTTCAGATTTCTATCTTTGGATGCAAGTGGGTTGGAAATAATAGTGGCATATGAATGGATAAGTCATGATTTTTGCAAGTGGATCTTAATAAAGTGGGGTACAAAGATGAGCCTTTTATTCTAGCCACACAAGCTAAACAAGTGTTCTATATCACTGATCTTACAAGTACGAAATGGTCTATAATTCTTTTTTCCAACAAAGTAATTGATGACAACATTGAAGATCAAGGTGATATTGATGTTGCGAAGGAATCTTATATTATAGATAATCAATATGAGAATATTAGAGCGTCCAAAGAAGTATGCTGATTTGATTTCAGTTGAAGAATGGGAAACATTTGTTGCCAAGCAAAGAACCCAAGAATTCCATGTAATTCTAACTTATCATGAACAATGTATAATATATATACTTCTTCCACATGAGTTCTGATATGACTTAAACTTGTTTTTTCAGGCTCTGAGTGACATAAATCGGCAACGAGCATCAAAAACCGTGTATCCATACAAAAAAGGATGTTTGGGATATTCACGCTTACAACAAAAAGTAGTAAGTATATACAAATGCTTTAATATGATATAGTTAGAATACGAGAAAAGTGAAGGTTGTTATCTGGCTTAATGTGTAGTTAGAAGAGGAGAAAAGTGATGCAACATATCTTCCGGACCATGTTTTATGGAAGGTTGCTCGTGTGGGTAGAGACGGAGTCGTTCAGGAAGATGTTCAACAAGTTTTTGAGCAATGTGTAAGTATAACATTAGTTCTGTCATAACCTCAAAAGTTTAGTAACATATAATGCATTTATACTTTTTAATCCCCACTAATATTTTTCTATATTTCAGGAGAGTCTATCCCAGTCTATAACTGCAGCTGAAGACCATGATTGCAGGAGCATACTAAGTCGAGTGTTAAATGTTCCTGAGTATTCTGGTCGTGTGAGGGGTAAGGGATTTGGTGTCACTCCAACAACATCGTATAAGCATCCAAAGAATAAAAATCCTAGAAATAAACAAGTGATGGAGTCGTTGGAAGAATTGAAAGCTCAAATTCGTGAATTGCAAAAGGACAGAGAGAGATATATGTTAGAAAGGCGCGGTCCAAAGTTTAAAGATACTAGTGACAAATATAATATCAATTGTAATTTTCAGCAGAAACTTCCCGAGGTAACTATATATATTACATTGAAATTAGTTTAGCACAATTTTCTTAATTGACATATATACACATTAATCATATTCATTATTGGTTTAGGATATTTCACCTTGTCAGCTCTATTTATCGTCACCGATTTATCGCATGGTAGGCAAGGGAAAAGTACATAACACTTTGGGAGACTTACTTCACCATAAACTGCTCCCTGCTGGATTTTTGAAAGTATTGATTGATATTTCTTTAGAGGGGGATGCGTTATTGCCTATACCAGACGATGTTTCAGATGCAACATTGGTGGGAGACGTAATAAGATCGTATGTTGCATGACCGTCAAATCTCATTTTCATAGATGATGAGGTACGTTGAACACCATTATGAACCTTTTAGTACTTAAATGTTTTAAGACCTATACATGTAAGTTATTCTTATATTTACGTATCATTTATTTACATGATGATCTTAGACTCCTACAAAATCCAAATCAAAAGATAAGGGGATTGTGCGGGAGACTGAGTCAGCTGCATCAAAAAAACAGGTACATTAATTGATATATATGCATAGGAAATGTCAATTATATCCTCCGATTTCAATAGCTTTATGATCTTAATTACCTAACTTATATGATTTTTAGATTCATGCTTGAGAGTTGCAACAAGTCAGCAAGGGTGAGATGCCTGAATCTAGCAAGGTATCCAACAAAAAAAGGTTGAGCCTAAAAAAGCATTTGTTCCTCGATTTAGGTTGTGCCTTGAAACACATGTAGGAACAACAGATGTGGTGGAGGGTGACATTCGTCAAATACCTATGGATGAAGGTATTTTAGGTTTTGCTTATGCCGAAACAATTGCTGAAGAGGATTTGGATCAAATTTTATAACATTCTGAATTAGACATTAGTGTTATGCATTCATACATCAGGTAATCCTGATATATATATATATATATATATATATATATATATATATATATATATATATATATATATATATATATATATATATATATATATATATATATATATATATATATATATATATATATATATATATATATATTTGTATTTTTTCATGTGCAGTGTCCTCGTCAGCGTAATGGTATTGATTGCGGTTATTTGTTATTGAGGTTTATGAAGGAAATTATTCATTCGGGTTAAATAGAGATTCCAAATAGGGTATGGATTTATAAGTTATATGATTTATTTTAATATTTAACCGATATTTCAACTGAGTAATTAGTTTTAACTAAATCATGCATATTATGTAGTACTTTGATGAATTCAAGTGTCGTACTTATTCGAAAGATAAATTGGAAGAAATTAAGGAGGAATGATGTCAATACATTCTTGAGATGAGAATCGTATAAGGTATATTGTCTTTATTTCTTTTGATTGGAGTTTATGGTCTTTAGAGATTTGTGTTGTTGTGATGTTATGTACATACTACTGGATAATTATAGTTCTGGAAGTCGTATATAGTTTTGCAATTTGTTGATAAACTTCTAGAAGTTGTTGTGAGGATCCAAAAATATGGAATTTGTAATTATATGTATAATGAATATATTTGTGAAGTTATCGGTTTTGGAATATATTTTAGAATTATGGATCGTTTCTATTGAATTATAATATATATATATATATATATATATATATATATATATATATATATATATATATATATATATATACACGACCTATGTGTTGAAATAAAGACTTGTGTTGAATTACAATGATTATAAGCAGGTTTATGTGTTGAATTGTTATGGTATATATAAGGCCTAAGTGTAGAAATAAAGATTTATGCTGAATATGATTGTTATAAGCAGGTTTATGTGATAAATTATAAAGAATTATGCAAAAATATTCAACAAAAAACACTTCATAAAAATATGCACAATAGACAACGCTTTTACCAAAACAACGCTAGGAAAAAGTGATTTTAAAAGAAAAAAAATCCAATGACGTGTAGAAAAGGCAACACTTTTCTTGAAAAAACACTGCTAAAGGGGGGGGGGGGGGTTAAAGAGAGCGCTTTTATTGAAAAACTGTTGCTAAAGGTCTTAAGAAAATATACTTTAGAGAGCGCTGTTAAAAGGGGGTGGGCGGGGGAAGAGAGCGCTTTTATAGAAAAGCGCTGCTAAAAGGGGGCCTATAACAACACTTTTTCCTTAAAAAAAGCACCGCCTTTACCTACAACAACGCCACTTTAGGCAGCGCTAAAGGTAAAAAAAAAATGCTGCTAAAGGTCTTTTTTGGCATAGCGATGGTTGTTGTTGGCTGAGAATTTCGACGCCAGGTTCCCGTTTGAGAAACTAAGTGAAACTTAAAGGTTTGTTAAATCTGGATGACTTCGACATGAGCTAGTATGAAGTTCTGTCAAAGTGGTTCTCATAAGGAGACGCGCTTGGACAAAAACTTAGAAATATTTTCTAAGGATAAAAGGTCATTTTGACGGATGGATGTTTTGGAGCCTTCCTTCGGTAGAAGTTTGAATTTCAAAATACAGATAAATAACTATCTTTTGTCCTTATCCGTTTCTCAGGGGAGACGCGTGGAGGACTATGGCGAAATGAAGACATGCAGAGCGAAACGTGTCAACTTTTGGAGAAATGCTCGTTGGAGACAGTTATTTTGACGTATTATAAATAAGAGTCTTACTATTAGGATTTTCATGCGTTCAATTGTTGTACTCTACTCAAAATTTACTCAAAGTATCCAAGTTAAAGTGAGAAAAGAGTTACTATTGAGAAATGTATGTTTGAAACATCATATTTTATTCAATAGAAGTTTACTTCTATTTTATCAATTGTTCCTTACTGCACTTTTTACTTTGAAGTTCTTTTCTTAATTGCATTTTCTTTATCAACTTTTGTAAAGTTTAATCTTTCCAACAATAAGCAAAACAATCTTTTAAATACTGTCGAAGTGTTCATCAATTTTCCATAAATACATTAATACAATAGTTATGTCCTCAGGATTCACTAGTTGATCCTGCAAGTAAACCAAATTTTTGGAAGAGCAGTGGTTGTTTGTCAATTTTCACGGTAAACAGTTGCTGAAAACAAAGGAGAGAATGGAACATTCAAGACTGGAACTCAGGTAGAAGTTTGCAAGAGAATGAAAAATAAGATTCTTGTAATTTCCATTAATGTGAAGCAAATAGTTAACAAGATGAATAGGTGGTCAACAAAGTTGAATGATGTAGTTGACATGACGAACACAAGTGGATTTGGATGGGATAACACAAAAAATGTGTCATTTGCGACAATAGTCAAGTCTTATCTTAATATTTAGAGGTATTTGACATATAATTTATACAGTGTGTTGCTTTACTAAAAGTAATTTATTCATTTGAAATTTTACTTTTGCCTTGTAGAAACATCCCAAAGTTAGAAACCATGTAAATTAAGAGTTTAAAGAGTTTAAGAGGTTGCAAGGTATTTCTAGAAAAGATCGTCCAAATGGTCGTACGACTGATGATGGAGATGAAAATGAAACAACTGACAATCAAGTTAGTGATAATGATTACTTGGTGCACCAACATGATAATTCACCAATTTCTGATGGAAAAATTACTCCAGGGCCATCTTTGAAACGACCTCGACGTAATCAATTAGCCGTTAAACTTTTGGAGAGTTTTAATAGCTAAATGGAAGTTATGACAACTGATTTTGCTAAAGTTGTAGCCAAACTTTCATATGCTTCAAAATATGACTTGGTTGTAGAGGTTAAAAAATTGGAATTAATTGACGAAGATGAAATTGACTTGGTGATTAAATTTTTTCATAAACAACAGTACAATTTTTTTTTTTGGGAGTTTGAAGGTTCCCAAAGAATGTCCTATGTAAGGAAGATTATGAGAATGTGATAAAAGTTGAAAATTTAATAATACCATTTTGCCAAATTATTTAACAAGTTTCATTTATAATTTATATTTTAATTAAGATTTCTTTTAAATTTTATCAACATTAGACTTGATCAATATATTTATTTAGTCTACATTTTGAATGTTAATTTTATGTATTTTTTTATGATTTACTTTTAATTTATGATATATTTTTTAATGATTTGATTTTAATATGTATTGTGCCTTTACATGGTAAAAAATCAAATGTTAAACATTACAAAGGGCATTAGGATAAATTTTATATGATTTTGTCCAATGCATTAACATATCAATCAAGGGATAACATAGAGTTGTTTGTCCTATACATCAGATATCAAACAAGGGACAATACAAAATGTTGTCTTGTAAATTAGTTATGTTGTCCAGCGCACATCCTTTTACAAATCAAACACACCCTAGATCCAATATTGAATACAAATACTTTCTTATAAAAGGAAGTGTGGTTTGTGTTGGTAAATCACATTCTCTCACGACGAGCATCCAAAGCACAAGAAAAGGTTCACATGTATCCATACCATCAGGCAATACCGAGTTATGATGTTGTAAGTGTGTTAAAAGTAGGCTCCATTTATCACATGCATGATTAACATTCTATTTTATCTATTTTGTGTGTGCATTTGTAAGTTATTAAAGTAAATGTTTAGTAATTCCTTTTTTGGATCGATGCTATTGTAGTTCTTCTGAAGCACCCGAAGGTGAAGTTGAAACATTCAATTGCACTCTTGTTGCACTGAGGGAAAAGTTGGATGCTCCTAGCTTGGATGTAGACAACAATGAGCCAGAGTCTAAGGATGCAGGTGAGGACGATGAAGATGAAGAGTTTTATTAAAAAGTGAAATTAGTTTTTAATATAAAGCTCGAAGGAATGTTTTGGTACTAGACAAATGATAAAAGTCATATAATTTGTTGTTAAATAAAATCTCCTATGTATTTTGACTTGATCTATTTTGATGTAGCATTTTCTAAGGATTGTTTCGAAGAAATAGTTGTATAGAAAGAAAACTGCAATAGAGTCAAGCATAACAAAATGGAGAAGTTTATTGAAAATGGTGGTATGATTATGCCAAGCAGAAGAGACTCAGAGGGGGGATGTTGGAGAATTTCCAAAATATCCTAAATATATATTTATATATTTTGATAAATTAATTAAAGGGGAAGAAAATGACATAATGGTTGAAAATTGAAATAGATGATGGCAATGTTGATGTCTTGGGTTCAAGTCTTGGTGTTGTTAGTTTTATATGAATGTGCGATTCATGTTAAAGTTTTCAATGTATCCTGAAGAGGATTCGCCGTGTAAACACATGTTTTGGAATTTATTTTATGCAATTTTCATCGTACCATTTTTCATCTTCTTCTTGTTCATGTTTTGTACCAGACCCTAAACACACGATCTAACAGAGAATGTATTGGTTTTACAATTTGTTATCCTTTAGAAAAGATCTATGTTTCATTTTTAAACCGTTGATTACAGATGAAAATGGTGGAAGAAGTGGATGATAGTAGAAGTTGTGGATGACAATATACATTATGGGTGAAGGATGGATGTTAAGTTGCAGTTAATGGTTGTAATATTGTGTTTAATTAGTTAGTATTTTTCTATAAGTTTCTATAATGTAATGTTTATATTGTTGCATTAACGAAGTGAGATTTTGTTAAATAGTTGAATATCCAATTTGTCCATCAATGATGTTAAAAGTATTGTGATAGATCTAGTTTGAGTGACAAAAAAAATCTAAGTTAAATAAGGAAGGAAAACATAAAATAACTTGAATATATTTTTTTCATTCCCTATTTCAGCAAAATAGTACAACTTAAATACAAGGGTTAACAAAGAGAATGGGTCTGGGTCACTTATGAAAAGATAACAAAACAACAATTAAAATAAAAATTACTATACACCTCCTTTAATATTGAATACTATCCTGAAGCCATTTGGGCTTCATTATGTTACGTTTGGGCTTTTGAGTCTGCATCCTAACAATACTCTTGTGCCCAAAAGGCTTTTGAGTTAAAATTTTTTCTTCAGTTGAGTCTTCAAGAAACTCAGAAACCACCTCCTTATTTTTCAACTGTATCCGAGTTCAGTCCTCATGAGTAAACCATGTCTTCAAAAAAATCTTTGAAATATGCAATGGAAGTGCCGATCCTTCCATTTTTCCCACCAAAATAGGGTCTCAACATTGAGACATGAACGAAATGGCATTATACTGGATGAAAAATGGCATTGTACTGGACCCAAATAACCGTGTGACCATAGGAGTTTGGGAGATGGGCGACAAAATCCATGGTAAGTTCTTCCCAAACTTGGTTAGGTTGAGGCAGGGTTATAATAGTCTCTTTTTCTTTTGTGTTTGCTACTTGTTGTGTTGACAAACAAAACAATATTTAATGTAATTTTTAACATCTGTGTGAAGTCCAACCAAGCGAAGGATGCTCCTAGTCTTGCTTTTATGGATTTGGCTCTTGAATGACCAGTTGTTGGTGTATTATGAAACTCAGGTAGAAGTGCTCGACGCAATCTATCATAGTTTGGTATAAATTTTTTGTCTTTGAAGTAGAGCAGTCCATTTGTAAATTTGTAATTGCTGTTCTCTTTTGGTTCTTTGTATTGTAATAGAGATTATCCATGAAGATATGTCTTATAATAGTGGCAAAGATGTGTAACAAGATCTGAGATTGGTGAAAAAATAGCTAGCAACAAGGATTCTTTGGTGGAGAACTTTTGGCTAAGAGTGTCAGCTACTAAGTTTGTAGAAGATCTCAAAATTGAACCCTTGTAGTTTAAAAGCCCATTTTTGTTGCCTAGGAGTTTGAATTTTTTGAAGTAAAAAATTTCTAAGACTTTTTTGATCTGTATAAATATGAAACTATTGTCTGATGAGATATTTACGCCACTTTTTGGCTGCTTCTGTAACGCCGAACATTTCACGCACATACACAGAGAAGGCTTGCATACAGGGACACATTTTCTTCTTGAAGAAGGCGATAGAATGACCATTCTACAAAAGCACAAGACCAATAGCAACACCAGAGGCATCTGTTCAATGATGAATGTTTTTGTAAAATTTGGCAAAGCCAGGACCGACATGTCGATTGTAACACTCTTCTAAACCCCGCAAATAATATATGCATAATCAGAGTAAAAGTTAACATGCATCCATAAAAGGGCATCACACAAAACTTGCACCATATTAAAACAATCTGTCATGCTCATAAACACCTTTCCATTTAGCAGCGGATTCATTAATGAAAATCCTTTAAAAGAAACATTTACTTTCATCATATAAAATCAACATCTCTAGGCACTAAGGCCAACATCTCATTATCTCAATTACTCCATATATGAAAACATAACTTAGGTTACATAATGTAATCCTAAAACATAAGTAATCGATCCCCGTGTTACACGACCAGAGCATGACTCGACCCATAAATAATTACTAAACCGCTACACACGTAGCGACCTCGAACTACAAGCAGAACTTCATAAAGGCCTCCAGCAACCTAATCTGCAATGCCTCATAGAGCATTATAAAACAGCAGAAGGGTGAGAAATATTACCATAATAATCAATGCATAAGATTATATATATACATGTATCACATAATTACATTCAACATTTCTCACCACAAATTCAATTCATAGTCATATTTATCATGCTGTAAATATAAACAAATATGAACATACCCAAACATATCCCTTCATACATATTTCCCAATCATCCAAAACCCATCATAATCACAAGCATACTTCATATATCCATGACATTTATGCTATTACCACATCATCAAACAATGCACATATATCCATGACACATTCCCATGCATTTCTCACAATTATTAACGATACACACATATCCACGATATGTTCCCATGCATCTCATACATTTATTAACGATGCACACATATCCACGATATGTTCCCATGCATCTCTCACAATTATTAACGATGCACACATATCCACGATATGTTCCCATGCATCTCTCACGATTATTAACGATGCACACATATCCACGATATGTTCCCATGCATCTCTCACAATTATTAACGATGCACACATATCCACGATATGTTCCCATGCATCTCTCACGATTATTAACGATGCACACATATCCACGATATGTTCCCATGCATCTCTCATGATTATTAACGATGCACACATATCCACGATATGTTCCCATGCATCTCTCACAATTATTAACGATGCACACATATCCACGATATGTTCCCATGCATCTCTCACGATTATTAACAATGCACACATATCCACGATATGTTCCCATGCATCTCTCACAATTATTAACGATGCACACATATCCACGATATGTTCCCATGCATCTCTCACGATTATTAACGATGCACACATATCCACGATATGTTCCCATGCATCTCTCACGATTATTAACGATGCACACATATCCACGATATGTTCCCATGCATCTCATACATTTATTAACATACATACAATATGCATTTACAACATCTATCAAGCAATGCACGCATATCCATCATTATGCTCTCATGCATTCTTCATGTATTTTAACATACAATCACATATAAACAATATGCATCCACAACACATTTTTCATAGTATGTTTATTCTTTATCTCATGCCATCTCATACAAGGTATACACATCACAATACCAATCATACAATTATAAGTTATGCACACATATCCACCATGTTCTCATGCATACTCATCACATAATTGTATACACATCAAGCATTCGCAAGTTCATTAGACAATACACATACATTCATCATTGTATTCACATGTATTTCTATTTATCACAATTAATACGCATCGCACATCAACTAGGATTCACGCCCGTAGGATACCCACAGCACACATCATCACAATAGATCACATACTTATTCATATCATAGAGGTATTAACCTATGTGAATCAACCAAACAATCACCACATGAGCAACACAGCAAAATAAAAATGCTGTCAC